TTTTATTTAGCAATTGACATCTAATATCCCATACTGGCTGGATGATGTTAAGATCAGGGCTTAGGAGGTATACTGTTGTAGGACTCCTGCACTACCCGAGTCCTGATGATGTCGTCATGCTGCAGAATGATCATAAATTCAAGCTCCGTTCTCCACTGAGTAATTTGGCATTCATTACTTTAACCAAGATGATCAACCTTCAGAGAACAGGTCAAGCAACTCTACTTGTATTTACTCTGCCTCTGTGTTAATAAGGTTTCAAATTGCTTTTTTAAAATTTTAAATAGCTCCCTTGTTATTCCAGAGATCCCAATCAAAATCTGCACCTCTTCTAATTGATCAGTTTGTCAGATATGTAGGCAGAAATCTTCCCTTCGGTTCTTAAAGGCAACGCGAGGCATGTTTCTGTGAGTTTCTTTGTGGCACATAAGAGCCATTATGGCGTGTCGCTGGCTGGACCAGCTCACACCCTCAGCTTTTGTGTCTACCTTTCACACAATAGCAGGACTGCTTTTTCCCACCACGGCTATAAGAAAGAAGACAAAGATGAATTGTCCTTTCCTTGGTGCGCTCTGAATGGACAACTTAAAGAGGCGGATGAATGAACATTTTTGTCCCGGCTTCTGCTTTTTATAGTTAATGGCGAAAATGAAGGAAACCTTTCTCGTATAAATCAATTACACTGACAGATTGTATTACGTGAACGTGTGCACTTCAACAACATTCGATGTGTTTACTGGACTCAAGCTAATATTATGTTCTGTTATTGTGTGATGGTTGAAAAACAGGTTAAGGCAGAAAACAGATACAGACACACCCATTTGGTGTTATTAATCTTTTCTTTAAATGGATCCCAGTTTAAATATTTGTCTAATGAAGACACAAACATGTCCTGCACGAAAGGAAGACATTCATGATGCTTCCCAAGAGACACAAAAGATGGAGTTGGTGCTGTTGTGTAATGTTGAATTAGTGCTAATTTTCAATATATGCATCACTGCACAGCCGACTGATCTGACTGTAGCTTCTGATACAAGTTTTTCATGATCATTAAGACTTCTTTTTTGTAATTAGGTTTTTAAAAGATATCTTTGTCGCTTTGTCTGGTTTCATACCCAACCATGACCTGGCTGGCTGCAATGAGCAAGCTGTAGCTGGGAATCATTCACGATAATACACCAGCAAAAAAGGTTCTATGAGAGCACAATGTATTGTCTACATTTTTGCTGTGCTGCATACCCAGGCTGTTTCTAAACATGAGAGACACGCTGTGGCAAATAGACAATTTAAACATCTCTTCCTTGAGGGGTAAAGTGTCAAGCATTCAGTTGATCTCCACTGTGAACCAAACGAGCAGAAAATAGTTCACTGGGGAGTCGAATGTCTCTTGTTGTTCTCTTGTCACCTAGAAGCTATTCCCAACAGGATTCACCTACATCCCTTTATTTTCATAGCGGAACTTGTTTCCCCACCGAAACATTCCTTGTTAACCGAGAGCATACCTTGATAAAACCTTTAGTGTCGTACATTTATTTTGAGTATTGACATTGGTGTAAAGAGGGAGAGCAGAAAAAGATGTTCAAATATTGTGGGGAAAAAAAACTACATGCAAAGTAAAACCACCGTTCTGCGTCAAGAGAGACGTAGAGGCAGCAGCTATTTTTTTCTGGAATCACTATTTCTTGATTTAATGAGAGAATCGTTGCTTAAAAATCAATATTCTCTTGTGAATTGAATGGATTTGAGGCTCTAAACAACAGTCTCTGATCATGTGAAAATGTGGAAATCTCCTGTCTGCTACCATGGAAACAAAGAGCAAAAAAGAAAAAAAAAAAAAGATGGACTGGGCATTCAGGTTTTAGGCTGAACATGAGGAAACAGCAGAGACAAAGAGATGAGTTTCAGCACACTGCCGCTTGCAGCTGTGAGCTCCTGTCACTTCCTCTTGCATTTAAAAATAATAACTTGTAGGAACAAGCCTTGTTTTTCCCCTGCAGCCTTTCCTGTTAAAATGGACAATGCAGGTTGTTGGCGATAGTATATGAATTAGTTTGTTAGCTTTTGTAGTATTTCATGTTTTGTATGACTTTAAAAATCACATGCTCAGTAACAGCCCGTTTATTTGCATGAGCAAAGCTTAGTGTTTTGCCAATATTTAAAAAAAAACTTGTGAAAGCTAAACAAGAAGGACTTGGTCAGGACTGGCTTCTCACATCGTTTCACGACGTTTCTCACATTGTGACTCATTGTTGATGCGGTTTATTTCAGACCCATGTCATGCACACAGGTTGATCGGCCCACACACATTTACAAAGCTCGTCAACACACAGCATGGCCATATGAAAATATATGTTCAGGCAGACTGTGTCACCCAGAAACATGTCATTCAAGCACTAGTGCACAGACAACTGCCAAATTCAGGAGAATCCACCTTTGCTGAATTAGCCACACTCTTAAGTAAAATGTGATGAAGTACAAAGTAATTACTTATGATACAATGGGCTAAAACACTTCAGAACTTTCTAAAACTACATTTATTTTACTTAAAATATGTTTAATACCAGTGAACATATAGCTAAAAGTACCTTTGTTTTGTTTTCTTTCCACATATTAATCTCATTTTTGTTTATGCTGTTCTAACATGGATGCAATTTCACAAGTTACTCGCAGCCACTCAGCCAAACTAACAGTACAGTGTGTTTGTCGATGTACAGCATAAGCAGCTTTTGGGCAGCAGCAGTGCCAGTGTAGTCTCACGCTCAAAGCACATTACGTACAGTATGCAGCCACACAAAGTCTCAGAGGAATCTGTGTTCTTCGTAGTGGGCTGCAGTCAGCCCGAGTCACAGAGGGCGTCCGTCACAACAGTGGCAGATGGCCTCTTGGCATCTTCTGCCAAGTTCACCACAATTAGCCATTTCAGCGTGATTTGCATTCCTTTTCATGGACATTATCAGGTCTTGACTGGGCTGACACCATCACGGAATGCAGATGCACACAAGCAGCGTTAGTAAAAATGGGGTAACTAAGGGTTCAGATGTTTTAGTGTACATGCAATGCTCTCCATCTACACAGATCACATTTGACTTTTTGAAAATAAGTGTCTTTGAGCAATATATTGAGCCATTTAGCTAAATTATCACTCTGAGCTTCTTAAGTCAGTCTAAGGAACGGTTTAAACAAAGTGTGTAGTGAGTGTGTAGAGGGGTAGGATTGTCTTGTTATGTGTAATGCTGGCTAATGTCATCCCAAAAGCACACATTGTTGTGGGGCACTGAGAAGCTGTTGTCTGACCAGACTGACTGCACATAAGGATGGTAGAGGAGGGGCTGGCATCCCAGATGTGTGCAAGAATATAAATCGTGTAGCCTTTTTAGTGCTCCTTCAAAACAGCATATAAAAAAATAAACTAACATGTCTTTTTCCCATACTAAAAATGACTGTTGATTAAATGTAGCCTCATGGGAAAGAGGATGAATGTGAACTCGGGCCAATCCCAGAGCAGAGCCTATTGTTGTTTCAGCACAGCTGTTACGGTCTATAGACACATTGCATTATGTAATCTTTCTCCCCCCTCTCAGCTGAAGTGCCTGCAGCAGAATGAGGCAGAACAGGTTCTCTTTTTTTCTTCTTTAAACTTCGCTTCGGACGTGACAACTTCGAGATAGTGCTGCCACGTCAGTGCTGTGGTTTACACATTAAGTGAGGTCATTCAGAATCAGGCTTTTGTTAACTCAAAGCCTTGAAGCACTCACTTATAGCGATACTCTGCTGTGCAGTGATCAGTCCTGGGGCGAATGGGCAAATCTGTTTAACTTTTTGAACATGTTTACTTAGTAAATGTAGAGTTTCACCCAGTTGGTTAGATTATGTCGTGATCCGGTGAGCACACATGACCTCAGGGCACCTTGTAACCATCAGTATACCTGTCACATTAAATTACAGTACAGGGCCGTGTGGGACACCCCTTTAACAGCACACACAGGTATATAATTCTCACTGTAAGGCAGCTTTGTAACATAGCCTACCAAAGGCTTTACAGTGTTCTACAGCTACATCGAGCAATTCTGAGTGTTGCAGCTTCTTATTTAAACTTAACAGTCAACTGCTCCATTTTTTCCAGTATAGTAAAACTGTCAAATTGAGACATAATCATCCACTTAAATCCAGCACCCTAGTGTTATTTGCATAAAGGAAAAGCTGTCAAGCAGAAGAGTTTTTTAAAAATTACCTCCACTCAGTTTCACGGTGGGAAGTTGCTGCAGTTACAGCTCGAGGCAGAATGGGGAAGGACTTGAGATGCATTCCTGCACAGGACTGGCCTAACTTGGGCCTGCACGCTGCAAGGAAGAACTTTTGAGTGCACTGTAAAGGATGGGATAAGACTGAATGGATGGTCCAGTTTACAAAGTAAGAAGGACAAGCTTGCCTCTCAGGTCAGTTCAACAAAGCAGCAACATATGGAGGAGATCTGTGGACTTATTCAGCTGTTGTCATTCCAGGATGTGAGCAAATGCTTTAACTCTGTAGTTTCACAAACCATCTAAGACTAGAATAAAGCCACAACATAAAGTCAGTTTTAGACCTTTAAGGATTTACATCCCCCCATAGCAGTAATCCCAGTTGTACATCTTCCATTCTTTACCTTTTACAAATGCAACATTGCCAAAACAGCAAAATCCTCGAGTGCTCAAGTCCAAATGTGCCTGATTTTAGATTACACAATCATTTCATGTCGAGCCAAAAACCCTTACCAGCTTTTGCTGAGGGCACATTGTTTAAAAATGGAGCAAGCCGATCAAGCTTTGATGGCTGTCTGCACATTTTAGGTCAGCTGGTGACTAAACTGTGCCAGCACAAAAGACAGATGCAACGCCTACAGAGCGCTGCCATGTTGTCAGATCTGCTCAAGATTAAAAAACAAATGGCTACTCAAGTGCTGGTTATCGCTCAGAGTGGGTGGAGTGCAAAAGCCTACATGAGAAAACAAGGACACATGCTTCAATTTACATTTTTTTTTTATTTTGCATATTTAACAAACTTGTGCATTCCAGATTTACAAAACAGTTTGCTTGGTGAGCATTCACAAGCAGCCAAGAGTAGGGCTACAATCAATCAAATGTAGGACCATCAGATGTTTAATGGCACGCCTGCTCGTTGACGCCACTCTGGAGATGCAGCAACAGATGACCAGAAAACCCACGCCGACATGAAACCACCCTTCCTTACTGTACAGAGTGCCGTTTGGGCAAGCGAGTGGTGTACAGCCATTGTTAAGTCAATTAATCAGAAATGCATGTTGGAAAAGGTCTGAAAAAAAGGGCAAAAGCTTGTGGAATGTACAGTGCAGGGGGAGGACTGGTCTTCATGATGACTCTGCCTTTTCCTGTTCGATGGCTGCGGAAAGAAGAAGAAAGTTTGAGTTTCAGAGACTAAACCACAGCAGCCAAGTGTTCGGGGTGAAGCTCACTAGGTGCAGTACATACTTTCTTTGGTTGGCAATGTGTTCTTCTCTTGAGTCTCCGTCTTCTTCAGCTTGGATTTGTCAAAGTTTTCGACTTCAGTGACGTCTGGTTTGTCGGCCATGTTTGCGGAGGCTCTGAAAAAGCAGACAAGTTGGGTTCAATCAGCACACCTGATCACACAGAGGAGTCTTAATCCTGGATCTAGTGGGACCATTTGGGTCAGAGCAACAATGCAATTCATGCAAAGTAGGTTTGCACACCATGTCTTGCATTTAGCTTGAGGGGGAGGAAAAAAAAAAAAAAGCTTTGTGAGTGAGCACGTGCATCTAGAGGACCACCGCCCTTCTCAGGAATCCAGATGAGCAGACTACCTTCAACCGTGACACATCCACCCACCCCCCCTCTGATCAGTAAACTTTACAACACAGAACATGCACAGCAGAGCTTTGATTATCCTGCCATCATCATGCAGCATCATTAGTTTCACAACATCTGTAACGCTGCTTGGCTTTAACAGGTCAGTTCCTGCATTTTCTCTTTTAGCTTTTAAAGTGACGCAGCTGAGCCTTCCGAGCAAGGTTAAAGTAAAGAATAAAGGCTCGAAATTAAGAAACACGCAGTCAATGCACAATCGCAAACACTCACCAGGGTTTTATGTAGAGAACCAACAGAAGAACGCCTCGTTGTCGCAGGAGCAGAGTGAAGTGAGGAGCGTCAATCACCTCCTAAATACTGCGCAGTATGCAAATAGCGCAGTGAAGTCACGCCCAGCCTGCTCCGACACTACCTTGTTTCTGCTTTTATTTTATGGCGACAACAGAAAAACGCTCCGTATACCTAAACCACGATTTAGAAAGAAAGGTTTAGGGAGGGGGGAAATGTATTTGTTTATTTAATTTGGATAAATGGGTTAAAAACGCGCCAGCTGCGCCACATTAGGTGGATGAAAGCTGTGAGTTTTCTCTCGACGCTATAAAAGATGTGCGTATCAGTGCACTTGTACAACATGGTGCTTGGTGATAATAAAAAAGGGACCAAAATATAAGCTGTATAAGCTATACAACGTGATTTCTGAACGGGACAATGTTTTTAGGTTTAACTTGCACACAACAACCTGTTAATTCTGCATCAGCAGCGACACCACGTGGACAAGAGAGGTAATGACGAGATGCAGAGCACATCTTAATTTCAAGTCTTTTGTTTGTTTGTTTATTTATTTATATATGTATTTAATTAATTAATTCTTTAACTCTATTCAGGACTTTCATGTTGCCATACATATAAGGTCTTTCGAGGGGCGTTGGACCCCAAGAAAGAATATGTGCAAAATATTTGTTGGTATTCATTATAGACTTTTTTTTTTTTTAACCACGTAAATAAATTTTCTGATAAGTTGATGTATTTTTGGTTCCAAATGCATGACAAATGTCCCTATTTTTATATTTTTTAAAAATCTTCAAAAATAAAAAAAAAGCAATACCTGTCACTTAAACCAAATGGCCTGGGGTCCAAAAGACCCCAAAACTCCTGAATAGGGTTGAATAGCATTTAAATTGTTTTACCAGTCTGAAGAAATCAAAATAAGTGGTTTTAAGGTGTGTTTGTATAATATTTTGGTAGAACAAAATAAGCCTCTGTGGGTTTAAAAAAAAATAGGAATACACATTTTTTGTTACACTAGAGTCCTATGGAGGGTTATATGTTCATTTGAGCATGAAATAGCAAACATTTATTTCTGTAATATATGAAAATGTAAGAGGAGGACTGCAGAGGGAAGGCACACCCCCTGATAAATTTCTCACCACTGTAGGCTAATCATCCCTATCGATTGGTGATTTGACATTCTTACAGTGCCTATAAACTGTATTCACCCCCCACCATGCAGGTTTTTACCTTTTCTTGCTTTTCAACATTAAATCCTGGTCATTTTAATTTGGCTTTCTTGTGCAAAATTTTCAACAAAAAAAAGGGGACTCTTTCATGTCAAACTGAAAACACATTTCTACAAAGTAATGTCAGTTAACTGAAAATATAAAATGCTAAATACGTGATTGCACAAGTGTTAACTCCCTGTAAAGTGGCTCACCTAATTCAACACACAGATGCAGCCATTTGGAGTTCGAAGTCACACAGTCAGTGAAATGGAGATCATCAGAGTGCAGTGAGTGTTTCAAGTGATTGTAGTATAAAGACACCTGTAGCTGGAGGGTGCAGTTACTTGTGAACCAGAGCTCCTGCCTATAATGACATCATGAAGACTAAAAAAAAACAAAACACTCCAAGCAACTCTGCTAAAAGGTTATTAAAAAGCATAAGTCATGGGGTAATTCAAGGACATTTCCATGTCACCAAATACCCTTTACGTACAGTTAAGTCCAACATTGACAAATATAAGGAAGAAAGCACATGTGTAACTCTGCTGAGAGCAGTGACCTCAAAAACTGAGTGTGAGAGAGAAAGAGACTACTGAGGGAGGCCAACAAGACATCTGTGACGCCTCTGAAGGAGATACAAGCTTCAGTGGTTGAGATGGGAGAGACTGTGTATACAAGAACTGCTGCCTCTTCTTCACTGTCAAAACTTTAAGGGAAAGTGGAAGGAAGGAAAAGCCACTGTTGAAAACAAAACTAATAATAAATCTTGACCAGAATTTGCCAGATGGCAAACTAGCCAGGTTTACACTATGCAATAGAGACGTCACATTAAGAATAGTAAATTAGGACCTACAGGTTACTGCCAAATTAAGGATATGGATTTAAGATTTGTATGATGTATAAAAGTTTGTTGGGCTGCAAAGTGGCTCAGTGGTTAGCACCATTGCCTCGCAGCTAGAAGGTTGCCCGATGAGGACACCTGGGATCTTTCTGCGTGGAGTTTGCATGTTCTCGCCGTGCAGTGTGGGTTCTCTCCGGGTTCTCCAGCTTCCTCCCACAGTCCAGAAACATGTTGAGGTTAATTGGTGATTCTAAATTGTCTGTAAGTGTGAATGTGAGTGTGCTTGGTTGTCTGTCTCTAAGTGTGGCCCTGTGATAGACTGGTGACCTGTCCAGGGTGTCCCCTGCCTTCACCCTAAGTCAGCTGGGATAGACTCCAGCCCCCCATGACCCTAGTGAGGATTAAGCGGTGTATAGATAATGGATGGATGGATAAAAGTTTGTTCATCTCACCAGTTCTGGTTTTTATCTGGTTCTAATTTAGTCTAGACTCAAACTGGCAGTAAACACTTATATGAATAAACAGTGCATTTTGCTCCTAAAAGCAGTGAATTTACCTTTTGCAGGTTAACCTGTAGCCTTACAGATATTTTTTAAGCTTCTTGGAGACCATATCATACACTGCAAAATATACTTCTGCAAAACAGCACAGATGTGAAACAGAGTGGTTTATTTATACACTGTATTATTTGCACACAAGTTACAGGAGATTCAGTATCATGCTGCTTAAGCAAAAATTAGGAAATCATGTCATTACTTGTTTTGCATGTAAATCCAAGGCAATGTCATAAAAGTAGCAACAAACCAGCGGTGGTTTCAAAACAAGCACACCACATCATAAATCCGTCCCACGCTGTCATCACTCAGCTTTCATCTGTTGGTGAAGTACTTTGAATATCTCTTGCTGTACATGACCTGATTGTCTACTCTTACGACGTTCCTCAGGTTTTGCCAGAACCAGGGTTCTGCGGCCGCCGTTCTCGGCCACTCCACAACGCTTTTCTCGCACAGTGTCCTCCTCAGGCGCAGGAAGTGAGAATGCTGCAGAACGGGCTCCAGCATCAGCAGCACGATCACGTCCACACTTTCATCCAGCAGTCTTTGGTGGGCCAGATACATAGCCAGCTTGAAAACCCCGGTCTTAACATAGCCCTCTGTCAAAACAAACAGGGTCTTGCGACTATATTGGATGCTCTGAGTGAGGTTGTCCAGCAGTGGGACTCCTGGGGGCCAATCCCTCTCCTCCAGGCACAGAGGATGATGCTTCTCTCCTTCCTCTTCCAGTTTCACCCGCAGATTCCCCATCACCCACTCGGAGACATGTGGATCTGTGGTGTCATATGTCACAAAAACATCATAACAACTGTCTGTTGAGTAAAAAGATCTGTATCCCTTCAGCTTAGCTTTCACATAGTGTAGGGCGTAGAAAGCATCCCAGTAAAACAAGTGAGCAACTGTTGCCGTAAACATAAAAACAATAATGAAGAAAGTTGTGAGAATGTAGATCTGGAATGCAAGACTATCATTTACACACTGAGTAATATCAAAGTTTATCAGCAGTTGAACCGTCTGGTTTACTCGTGTGTCACATGTCACGTCAGTGGTCAGTCTAGGAAACTTTATTTTGCTTTCTTCAATCCATAAAATAAAATCTAACGAATCACACGTACATTGGAATGGGTTTTTCTGCAAGAACAAAGTCTTTATCGGGTTTTCAGGTCCTGACAGGAAGGTAGATCGATTGATGGTTGGGAGTTTGTTGTAGCTAAGGCTGAGAGTCTTAAGGCTTCTGGGACCCTGTATGAATCCATTGTCTAAGTGGAAAATGTTATTGTGGCTCAGGTCAAGGTGAGTCAAAGTATGGATGATGCTGGAGTTGATACTTGTCACATGAGATAAAGAATTGAAGCTCAGGTCTAAAATTTGAAGTTGATGGAAATACTTTAGGTTGTGCCATGCAAACTCAATCAGTTTGTTATGACTGATGTGTAATGTGGTGAGGTTATATGGTAAATGTTCATAAACGTCATCTGGAATCTTTGCAATGTTGTTGTGAGATATATCCAACAGTGTCAAATTGATAAGATTAGTAAAAAGTGTCTTATAAGAGCCATCCTTTTCTTTCCAAAGAGTCCCAAGATGATTATATGTAAACTGAAGCTCTGCTAATGATTGGCTGTACATCTTTTTTGTTGTCAGTGTGAAAATGGAGTTGTGGCTCATATTCAGCACTCTCAGAACGGGCAGATTTTTTGTAAAATCTAAATTGTGTGTAATCCCAAAAGCTTGAAAGTAGTGCTCATTGTAACTGAGGTCTAGCACTTGTAGTTTCTGGAGCTCTTTGAAGGCGTTGTCATAGGCCAGATCTATCTTATTGTAGGACAGGTCCAGGTATGTTAGATTAGGCAGGCTGGAGAACTCTGTGCCATTAGGTGCAGCTGAAAATCCATTTCCTGAGAGGTTGAGGCACGCGATATCTCCATAGCCCTCGAACTGGTGTGGAGAAATGAAGAAGAGATTATTTGAGCTGAGGATTAGCACTCGTCCAGAGTCAAAGCACTCTTGCTTTATAAGCCTGTGGGATAACTCATAATCATAGTCTTTTGAATGGGATTTTCTGAACGGCGAAACAGAAAGATCCAACCGCTGATTGTACCCATTGCTCGGATGCGGGACCTCTGGAGTGGGAAACAGCCTGTTTTCTGCGAGATATATCATTTTCAAGTGGTGGAATTTGCTGAATATGGTTGAATCAGAATGAATGATGAAGTTTGTGCCCAAGTTTAGCGAAGACAGATTTTTGAGCTCATACAGAGGTTTGAGGGTGCCTGCTTCAATGTTCTGGAAGACCAAACCCTCCATATGCAAAGTTCTTAGTGACACAAGATTGGAAAACTCTTTTGAAAGGTTGACTGTGTGTGGGTAGATCTTGAGAGCAAAGTTGAAAGACAGATCGATTTTACGTAGCTTGGGCAGGTATCTTAGAAATGTGGCCTCCTCGGTAATTGTTTTTAGCAAGAAGTTAAATGACAGAAACAGTTCTCTAAGGTTGCCCAGGCTCTCAAACCAAGAGGGATTCAGGTGCTGCAGCGAGTTCCCTCCCAGGTTCAATGTCTTAAGCTTTGCTAGATTTCGAAATGCAGCAGGATGAATGCTGAGAGAATCGTTTTGACAAGGCACACAGGGAAATGGAGCATTTTGACATCTTGGACAGTTCCCCTGCAGTCCTAGAATTGTTAAATTATGTAACGCATGAAAATGATCTTCAGCTATGTACTCTATTTTGTTAGAGCCCAGGTTTAATTGGTAAAGGGACTGAGGTAATCCTTTGGGAACCTGGGTTAAGTTGTTTTGGGACAAATCGAGCATCTGCAGTTTGGTCATGACTGCAAAACTGTTGTCCATTATAACGACAGATCTACCACAAGGATTCCACATGTAGCAGTTTCTGGCCAACCACAGTTTCGTCACGTTTGTTATGCCTGTGAGGCTGCTGTTATCCACCAACATGATCTTGTTGTTGCTTAGCTCAAGGAGATCAACAGAGAGGGGGATATTGCGTGGAATGGCATCCAGACTGTTGCCGGTGAGTCTCAGCTGATGCAGTTTTGTAAGATTTTTGAGAGCATTCGCGGCAATGACCAGTACCGTCTTCCTGCTTGCCCAGTTGAGGTTGAGCTGAGTCAGATTCTGAAGGTTAGAAAATGCATGAGCTGTAATAATGCCGATGTAGTTTTCAGATAAGTTGAGATCGGTGGCATTGCTCGTTATCCCATCAGGAACTCTGTGCAGATGACGTCCTTTGCAGTCGAATATGACCTTCGAGCTGTTGTGGGCTGTGACGTCACAAGGGAACTGCAGCGACATCCATGTAGGTTTGCATTCGGCAGACTGGATCTCATAATGGCAACACAGACACAACAGCAGCAGGTGCGTCCAACATGTGACAGCCTGTAGACAAATGATGGAATTAGTCAGTTGAAGTAACTAACTTCTCATATAGTACACTGTTATACATATATGTTTTATAATATTGAAGGATAGGGTGTCACATTTTTAAAAATGTTTTACAGCAATAATCTAGTGCTCATATGAACCTTGTGTGCTAGTGTTTGCTGGCTATAATTATTCCTATGGTTTTAACTAGACATTTAGACCTTCCTCCCTCCACTGAACATACTGGTGGACAAAATCTTTGTTTCTTTGCTTAAGGGCATTCTAAAGTTTAGCTGAAGTTATGAGAAGGACTCAGCCATCTCAGCTAGAGAATGAGGACTACATAGTTGTCCTCAAATTTATTCATACCCTCCCATTAAAGAAGAAAAACAACTGCTGTCACTGAAATAAGCTGAAATTGACAAAAGTAATAATAAATAAAAATGTAATGAAAATCATGACATTGCTTTTGAATTGTGGTTCAATAAAAATATTTTTTAAAAATTTAAATAATAAAAAAAAACAAGCAAAAAAGCACAATGTCACCCATAAATTAATATTTTGTTGAACAACCCTTTGAGCCAATCACTGCAATCAAGTGTTTTCTGTAGCTCTCAGTCAGACTTCTGCACCTGTTGACAACAAAGTGCTCTAATTTGTCTGGGACAGTTTTATTGGTTTTTTTTTTTTTAAATAATTCTTTTCATCCACAATTCAAAAGCAATGTCTTATTTCACTAAATTATAATTTAGCAAATTTTTATTTATTATTACTTTTTTCAGTTTCTAGTTATTTGAGTGACTTTTGTGAATTTTGCCTTTTCTTTAATGGAAGGATATGAATACATTTGAGGATGACTGTACATATGATCACAGGAAACATTTTGACCTATCATTACCATGGCTCTAAATCATGATCTAGCCCAGGAAGGATTTCCGGGGATGTACCAACCTCTGGACATAAGCTGGCTCTTTAAAATGCAGCCGTTGATGTTAATGTTGCTAACTACACCTGTTCTTTTCTTGCTTTTACATGTCAAACTGTCAGCCTACGACATGTCAAAAATGTTTGTCCATGTTCATATGTGCATGTGACGCTTGTTTTAAAGTGTAAAATCGTGAACCTGTTCTTGAGGTATTGTAAATTGCTTTTCAGTTTGGCACCACTTGTATCCAGCAGGTGGCAGCAAGGTTGTAAGTGAAGTAACACTCAGTTGTTATGATTGGTCCTCTTTGGTCTTGTTCTTTGTCCAAAAACCCTTACAGCAAAGCTATACTTTTTTTTTTGATACCTAATTAACAATTGTGAAATAATCATAAATACTAGAAAAGCCATAAAGTCTGTGAACTGTCTCAGTCATGTCAAATACACAATAATGTTTAAGTACTGTGCTAGCATTGACTAACACTAACCAGCATGTCTTACGTGTCATACCAGACGAAGTAAGGCTTAAGCAGCAAAACCATTGAGTGTAGTTAATCAAGAAAGACTGTGTCTGCATTTTCTTCTGAATTCTTTTTTTTATTTAAAATGTGTCTTTGAATAGACAAATGCTCATATTCTTGTCCTCCACAAACATAGTCATCCACATATGTATTCATACTCTTCCATTAAAGAAAATGTAAAATTCACAATAGTCACTCAAATAACTAGAAACTGAGAAAAGTAATAATAAATAAAAATTTGCTAAATTATAATTGAGTGATATAAGGCATTGCTTTTGAATTGTGGATGAAAGGAATAATTAAAAAAAACAAAAACAAAAAAACTGTCCCAGACAAATTAGAGCACTTTGCTGATGAGCAGTGGGCCAAAATCAAAATAGCTGTCAACAGGTGCAGAAGTCTGATTGAGAGTTACAGAAAACACTTGATTGCAGTGATTGGCTCAAAGGGTTGTTCAATAAAATATTAATTTGCAGGTCCCATCATATTTGTTTGCTTGTTTTTTGTATGTTTTTTAAAAAAAGTATTTCTGTTGAACCACAATTCAAAAGCAATGTCATGATTTTCATTACATTTTTATTTATGATTGCGTTTTTCAATTTCAGCTTATTTCAGGGACAGCTGTTTTTTTCTTTTTTTAATGGGAGGGTGTGAATACAATTGAGGACGACTCTAACCCCACTTAAACTTTCACTTTCCTCCTTACTTCTCTGTAAGTAGCTGTAGGTTGTTAAAAGTGTTTTATTTCACACCGAGGAACAGAGTCACATACATATTTTACAATAACTTGTTATAGCTGTATAATCTTTATAGTCAGTAATATACAGCGAACCATTCCATCAAGTGGAAATACTCTGAATGTCTTATGAGAAGCCTGGCAAATGGTGTCTTTGAAAATTAGAATTTAAAATAGTTCTGTGGGTTTAAATACATGTGTGGCTGCAATAGCTTGAAATCCCCAAACCGCTGGCTGTTGCTCTCATAAAACGGAAGGTAAACGTGACAAAATAGGACACCATGTTGGTTTTTTTTTCCTATGGCATTGTGAGTCATCTTTAATGTACTGTATTTACTGTAGAACACGTTTTCAAAACAGTGTACAACAAAATACATGAACAATCCAGGATTTTGGAGACAAATAAAGAGTTAGTGAAAGTATTATCAAGTGGAGAAAAGATTTAGGCCCAAAAATCACAAATACACAATATTATAATACACATATGTCCAATGAAAACACGTGCAAGTCACTGGGAAGTCTAGCAGATTCATTTTGTCTGATGAACAAAGTAGATAAAGTTGACAGTTCTACTAGTTTCTGTACACAGAGCAAAGCTTAAACATACACACTCACCATTATGTCATGTACTGTGTTGATCCCTCAAGATCTCTGAATGGCAGCCTTGAAACCGAGTGTTTCTCTGACACTTCAGGCAATCGAAAAACTGCGCTTGTCTTGTGTGTCGCCGCGTCATTACAAGTCAAAACACCCTATTTAATTTCCTTGTTTTTGATCCCTACACACTATGAAAAAAACCCCCAAAAACCCCACTGTGGCTGAAGTCAAACATAAAAGTCACAAACTGGCGGGTTGTCACAAAGTCAGATGTGAGAGAGAAGTGGCATGTCATTTGAAGAAGTACATTTGTTTCATTTCCCTGTTTCATGCTATGGCCAGCCTAGACTACATGAAAAAAAACACACAACAAATAGAAACCCTTGTGGGAACTGCTAAGAGTACCAATCAATTCTCTATTTAAATGGAAATAACAGGGAATTTAAAATCAGCACACGCTTTCATTAATCATAATCAGCATGAAAAGGCTCATTCATATAACACTGGTAATAGTTCTGCTTATATTCTAACAATGCATTAGTCACATATTGTAATTCACGCACAGAAGTACATTCAGAGCAACGAACAATGGGAGAAGGAAGTAAATACCCCAGTAACTGTTCTATTTACAGCGTCTCTTTGAAGAGATTGCTGTATTGCTTGTGACTTTCAGTTGCTAGAACGCTTCTCAGGCTGAACCAGAAGTACGGCTGAGCCTGAGGGTTCGTTGGCCACTCCAGCACAGAGCGCTTATACAGCCTCTTCCGTAATCTCAGGTACTTTGAATTGCAAGGCACTTTCTCTAAGAGAATTAACACAATCACATCGTTTTTTTCATCCATTAACCTTTGGTTGGCAATGTAAAAAGCCGTCTTGAAGTTCCCCCCTTTGATATATTTTTTGGTAAGAATGAACACGGTCCTCTTGCTCTTGTGGATGCTCTGGCAGAGGTTGTCAATCAGGGGGCATCCGGGGATCCAGTCTCGTTCCTCCAGACACAGTGTCAGCTGACGTTCTCCGCACTCCTCCAGATGCACGCACATTTCCTTCGTCACCCACTCCGACACGGCGGCGTCCTCCTTGTCATAGATCACGAAGGCATCGTAGGCGGCGCTCTGGGAGTACAGGCGGCCGTAGCCTTTGAGCTTGGCCCTGCAGAAGTGGTAGATGTACCAGACGTCCCACAGGAAGAGGTGGCTGGAGATGGACAGGGTGAGGAAGCTGAGGAGGAGGGAAGTCATGAGGGTGTAGAGAATGGCTGACAGGTAGTTGTGTTGGCAGGCCAGCAGGTCCACCGAGACCACGGGATGACCCCTCTGTGCCCCCGGATCAGCGCAGTTAACATCCGTACCCAGCCTAGGGATGGTTACCGTGGTGCTGTTGAGCCATTTCACAAACCAAGTGGCGTTGCAAGTACACAGGAACGGATTGTTGTGCAGAAGTAACATGTCCGTTTGATTCAGAACATCATCAGGAAAGCTGGATGATTTAATATACTGTATGTGGTTAGAGCTCAGGTCCAGATGTTTTAAGCTATACGCATCCTTGAGGAAATCTGACGTGAGTTTTAGGATTTGGTTTTTTTGTAAAATGAGTGTCGTGAGAGATGTGGTACAGTTTGACAGCATGGGTGGAACAGTAGTTAAGCTGTTTTCACTAAGATCTAAGACTTTTAAATACTTTAGGGACCGTAGCTCCTTCCATGCAAAGGTATTTATTTTGTTGTTTCTAATGTAGAGCTCAGACAGCTTGTCCGGCAGACCGATCAACACTTCCGGTAAAATGCAATTGAGGTTGTTTTCCGAGATGTCGAGGACAGTCAGATTAAACAGTTTTTTGAAATAGTTGACAAATCTGGTATCCCCGTCTCTCCACAGCATATCTAACCGGTTATCTATGAACTCTAGCCTCTCCAGAGAGTCGCTCTCCAGCTCTGTGTTTGAGGAGGTAGAGATCTTGTTGTGGTTCATCAGCAGTGTCTTGAGCTTTTTTAAATTCTTAGTAAAATTAAGCATGTGAGTCAAACCTTCTGATTCAAAATAATGGTTGTTATTGCTGATATCTAAGATGACCAGGTTTGTCAGCTCTTTAAATGCGGTGGAGTAGAGCAGGTCCAGCCGATTTGACGAGAAGTCCAGATATTGTAAATTAGTCAGATGGGTAAATTCAGAACCATTCAGACTTTGACTCATTGCATTTCCGGACAAATTGAGGCATCTCAGCTCTTTGAGATTCAAAAACCTTGAATGCAAGAAGAAGATATTGTTTCTGCTCACATCCAGGGTTTTGCCAAACTGACTGCAGTCCCTGTTGACAAAGGATGTAATAGTTCCAAGTTCCTTATCTTTGTATTTGCAACTGCGTGCATATTCATCGTATCTGAAGTAATGAATCTCTCTCACTTCCTGACTTTGGTACTCAGCAGAGGCCGACATGGGAGACCAGTGAAAGGGCTCTCCTCCAGAGAAACCAAAGGCCTCTGGGCCTTCAGAGGGAGAAGAAATTTTGTTGTCAGACAGACTGATTATTTCAAAGCTGTTTAATTCCATCAAAATGCTGAGGTTTGCCATTTTAATGAAGTTTGTACCCAGATCTACAACCTTCAGGTTTGGCAGAGATTTTAAAGGAGCAATGCTTTCTGGTTGTAGCTGCTGAAACACAAAGCCCTTTAGTCTGAGAATTTTAAGAGACGTGAGATAGAAGAAAGCGTAGCTCAGTCTCAGTGCCTGAGGATACCTCTGAAGCTCGTAGTTAAAAGAAAGGTCCAGCTCCTCTAGCTTGCCCAGGTGTTTTGGGAAGGCACTGACTCCTATCTCTCTTGCTAAAAAATTTGAGGACAGATCAAGCACTCTGAGCTCTGTTGTGTTGGCAAACCATTCCCATGGCACGCTTGTAAGGGAGTTACTGTGCAGGCGTAACGTCTTTAGTTTTGTCAGCATTTTAAAAGCCGTTTTGCTGATCTTAAGCGGCGCATTATTTGGGCAGGGGGTGCATGGGAAAGGGGCGTTGTAGCATCGGGGACAGTTCCCGCTGATGTCTAGAATCTCAAGGTTAGTTAAATTTTTGAAATCCTCATCAGTGACTTCTGTAATGTTGTTGTTGTAGAGATAAAGCTCCTTTAAAGTTGTGGGAAGTTGATGCGGAATGAAAGATAAGTTGTTCGACTTAAGAGACAACAATTTTAAATTGTAAAACTGTGCAAATGCACCGTGCTCTATGCCGTAGGAGTTATTACAGGGGTTACGATAGTAGCAGTTCTGACCAAGGTAAAGCACCTCAACATTCCTGATCTCCGACAGGTTTGCTTTAGAAATATTATAAATGTGATTCACTTCCAAACTGAGGAGGATCAGATTGGAAGGCAGGCCTTTGGGTATACTGTCCAGCTGATTGCCATCCAGATACAGCGCTCGCAGGTTCCTTAACGTGGTGAAGGTATTTTCCTCAATCGTCACGCTCTTGATGCACACGCGATCTTTGGGGCCGATTTTGATGGGCACACAGTTGCACCTCATGTCAATCTCTGTCAGGTTCTCCAGACCGTGGAAGGAGGTGGAGTTTAACGTAGGAATGTGGTTGATGGTGAGCGTCAGATTGGTGGTGTCTCTTGGGATGCCATAGGGGATGTATGTGAGGCTTCTCTCAGTGCAGTCCACCTTCACCGCACTCCCGTTGCTGTCCTCGATAACATCACATGGCAGAGTTTTGGGGTAATAGACGCGACATGTGGACTTAGGGAGAACAGACCACAGGCCCAGAAGTGCCACATACATCTGCACGGAAACACAGGCAGCTTTATGAGGGACGAGTGTAGACGGAAAGCTAATAATACATCACATCAAAAGGACAACACATACAATGCTACTACAATCAATACTTTGAGTAAGGCACATTGCAACTAGTGTACAACACAACGTAACCTTTTGTTTTCCAGTTCTGATCAAAGCCAACCTACATTTTACTGCTAATGAATCACAAGACTGTACAGTATATGAGCAAATATAACTCCTACTCACCAGGTGGATGAACATTCTGTACGTGAGAGACTGAAAAGAGGTCCTGCTATCCAGAGATCTGTTGTGAAGTCGGGTAGAGTAATGAAAGAAGTGTGATACTCACTTCTGAGGTGATAACACGAAAGTAACAGGTGGCTGAGTTTGCCTTTAGTGTATATAATTAGCCAGAATCACTTCCCTAATTTGTTATAAACCGCACACATCCAAATCTTCCATCTTTTACCACGTCTGTACTGTGCTGTTTGTTATAGGAATGTACTTTATGACAACATTACTAAAGAGGGTTCTTCTACAACACAACGATCATTAACTGTCATTAGCTCTTACTGTACAGTATAACAGTACAGACGGTGGAGCTGCAGGTTTTTCGGTGGCTGGCACTTGTGAAAAGAACAGTTTCATTTCTCCTAGGCATACAGGGGAATGTGAAACCCTTGCTTGGGTTTAGGTTTACCACCTTCGGGGTAAACATGTAATTTTGGCACCAGGCAGAATTTTTTGTTTCCCCCCTGCTGTTATCTGTCGCTGCTTTGTGGCTGTACGACTGAATAACTCTCAGCCATCCAGACAGTGTGTGGTCCTTTATCAAGACATCAGATGAACAGTGTTTTCACTCAAAGCATCTACTTATCAGCCACATTTATAGGAAATAAAAATTAAAAAACAGCATGATGGTAAAGAGTCTTTTGCAAAAGTTATGGAGAGCAACTTTCTCTGAAGGTTTAAAGGCAGCAGAGAATGTTGATATTTTTAAAACTACACTTAAAAATCTTTCTTTTAGTTAGTGTTTTTATTTGTCTATTTAATTATACATTTTGCTCTGTTTCATCTGTCTTTTGAAAGCTCTTTCTTTTTATTTTTTATTGTTGTCTTATTCTGAATTTTTGACTTGTTCTGCCTGCGGGGTCTCCACATCGCACATTTATAAGATTTATTTATGACAGCGTTTCTCACTTGTGGGTATTGTGAAAGGTTTGTATTTATTTATTTTTTTCTTTTTGCTCTGTAAAGCACTTTGCCCTATATTCCATTTGTATGAAAGGTGCTATATCGATAAAGTTTGATTGATTGGCACTTTTTGGCTATGCAAGTGACGTTATAGCAGCGCTCGTCTGTTCCTCAAGCACTGACATCATTTTTAATTTGTCCTGTCAAATATCTCACATTTGTAGTTTCCAGACAAGGCCTCTTATTTATCATGTGGCTATAGTTTGACTCAAAATGTCAAATGTATAATAGTCTGCCATTAAATTTGGGACATGTCCAATATCTAATAACATTGCCATTAGCCTCGGTTTGTGTTTGCTGTTGGTAAATAAGAATAAAGTCACCATCATATCTGTTAAATATGAGCATGTTAGCCCTGGCATTATGTGGATGGCAGCATGCTGATGTCAGCATTTCAACTCAAAGCCTCGCAGAGCCGCTAGTGTGGCTGTCGACTCTTAAAGCCTTGTTTTATTCAGCTGAATTCACATAATGCAACATGCACGGGACTGCTCTCACACACAACGGCGCGCAAACACTCTCCTCAGCCAAGGAAGCGAAACAGACCATCATCATCATCATTAATGCAAAAAGCATTTCCACCACTCAGGCTTGAGTGAATGGTAAAATCATGAATTATTAAACGGAGTTACAAAACTAAACATAGGTCAGGAAACTTTTCTGTATAAATAATGAAATTTGTCTCTGTTTTTAGTGCTTTTTAGTGCAAAGTGAGTATGAATTTGCATGTACCACCGCAAAATGAACACAAAAAAATGTGGCATTGGAGGGAAAAAAATCAGTAATAAACAAATCTAGTCATGAGAAAGAGAAACGGACGAAAATCATTTGAGATAAGACTTTTTTAAAAGTTTTAATTTCTTTAATGATGTTGACAAAAATAACAAGAGAGTACTCAGTGTTCATGTGTAAAGAATTCGTTAAATTAAGTGACTCAAGAAAATGAAAAAGTTTACTTTAATTTTTTATCACGTCTTGTCCTGTGCAATGATTTGTCAAGAGCTGTATATATCGTATGCATTTCCCCAACATAATATATATTTTTTTACAATTTATAAACAGGGTACTAATAAGGTGGTAATAATCTACATGTTAAACTCCTAATATAACCAATAAATCAATAAAATAATCCCTATTATGCAATATTAGATAATATATTTGAGAGGAGGGTCATATGCTTCTTAATAGAGACCTCAATATAATCTATTTAAAACTTTAATTATTCATATAATTTTTATATTTTCTTTACATAATAAAATATTGTATACACAAGGCAAGTTTATTTTTTTTTCACAGCAGTTCACATTGGTTGTTAAACCCATGTCTCTTATGTATGGCTTTAAAATCAATAATCAGGACAAAATAACAACAGTTTTTTTGTTGAGCAGTGTTGTCAGTGAGTGAGTTAGTGTGTTTATAATAGCAGACATGGTGGCAGAGTAATGTGTCAATGCATTCACGCTTTGGTCACTGGCGGAGCGTCCCGAAGCCGCTTCGGCAGCTTTCAGCAGACACACATAGTTCATGACGACCTCATCCACCTTGGCTACCACCTCTCGCCGTTCGCTCTCGGTGCTCAGGCCTTCCACGAGTGACATGCAGGCTTGCGTTAAACAACACAGCGTGTGGAAGCTGTGCGTCAGCGTGAGCAGCAGCTCTTCTGGGCTGCTGTACTCCACGGCCATCTGACTGCAGGCGCCGCTCAGCACTTTGGCCTGCATGAAAAGCAGCTGGGAGAACGTTTCCATGTCAGCGTCGGCGACCTCGGGCATGTCACCTCTGGCCAAGTGGCCTACGCTGGAACGCAGTATGCTTATCATGTCTAAGGCATCCTTTCGTGCAAGTGCGAACCCCGTGTGAAGGCTGTAGGTTTTTCCCTTCATGGAATTTATACAAGCAAGTCTGGCGTTTAGGCTCATGTCATTCATAGCTGTGGCCACGTTGCTCCGCTCAGCCTTACTGTTTGCTTTCAGGATAGTTTTTTCCTTGCCCCTGGAAGAAACTGAGCTTTCAGAAAACAGAGCACGTGGGGGCGCATCTCCCTCGTCATCGCCGCTGTGAGTGCTTGACGTTCTCCTGAGGAAGCAGTGACTGAACGGCCCATGGCACCTCCACGTACCAGCATCCAGCCTCGGTGCTGTTGACTCTGGCAGCAACAGAGAGGCTCCTCTTAGCAGCCGTCTACCGGACGAATTGGAGGCGACTGAACCCTGGGACAAGCTCTTGGGTAAGGTTTTGGCTGAGAATGTCCTCCGCACTTTTGGGGGATCTTGAGACTTCAAATTTTGACCGTCATTCTTCCCTGTAAGTGTGGCTTTGGTCTTTTCTAACAGTGCTTCCAAGCTCTTGGAACCTGGCATTAAGGTGCTCCAGCTCCTCCTGAGCATCCGAACCCTGCGTGGCTTCCTGAGGCTGCCTGTTGTAGGGACACATGAGGATCCGCTTGAGGGGAAAGCCAGGGCGTGTGGGTCGGGCTCAGGGCTGGCCTGTGTTAGCCCGCTGGGCTCTGTGCTACTTCGTAATGATGAAGGTGACATGGTTGTGGTGGTGGTACTGGTCTCATTACAGAGAGCTAAAGATGACTCTTCCCCAGCCTTCTTCAGCTGTGTGCAAGCTACACTAGGGGCAGTAGGAAAACAAAGAGAACTGTTAAGCATCTCCCTGACAGCAATACAACGTTTGCAGTTAATTATTTTTCTTCGGGTTATTAGTGCAAGCAATAAAACAAATAAGGTGTTAAAGGTAGGAAGCAAATTTTTAATTCCTTTTCTAACTGATGAGTCAATAGTTTGACACTGTGGGAAATCATTTGCAGATGATGGGAACATCAGTGCCACTTTAATATCTGTCTACTAAAACATAAGGGCAGGGGGAGCAGATAACAGTTTGTATTTCACCTGTTGAATCTCTACAAAAAAACAAAAGCAGCAGTTTTTATGCAGAGTTTTTATGAGCAGCACTACATTTTTGCTTGAGTCTCAAATGGCTTCACTGCAACTTCCTGGTGAGGACAGGAACAGGAGGCCAGTGTGTTTAAACATAACCCTCCACAAAGCCAAAACTTCTCCTTTTCATTCATGCTTTCACTGAAAAGTTAGACGCTAAAGGGATTAAATATTTTACACACTGCAAGAAAGTAAATTCCCAAAATGTCCAGCATATACTTATGAGAATAGTGATCGTTAGAGGCAAAAGGGGCACAAATGTATTTTATAGTTCCTGGAAAGACTACTTGCTGTTAAATAAAATAAAAATAAAAAGCAGTCATTCAATACTGTGAGCAAAACTGTCCTTTCTGTCATTTCCCAGGGTGAAGGCTCAGAGATATCAACATGAAAACTCATAAAACACTATCCACATGGCTACATACCACTACAAGTAAGTGCGGAAGGGATAGTTTGTAATTTAGACAAATTGAACTATACCATTTGGAATATATTTTTGCCTGCAATGATCAACTTTCTGAAATGTGATTCCTATTCTTTTGATGCATTTAGACATATTAGAGGGAGCACCCTCCTGTTTAGTTTTACCTGTGGTTTCTTTTATCTTGGGCATCCTGTGGCTGCCGTCCCGCGTGGTCCCGAACCCAGAGTCAGCGCTGGTAGCTGCGTGGATCTTCCTCAACAGGGTGGGGTCCATGGGATGGCCGGCCTTGCCCTGCCCCGGGGCCCCGTAAGCCTTCTCCTCGGCCGTGACGTAACTCAGCCCCTTGAGCGAGGACTCGGACAGTACATGCATATTGTCCGTGGCACAAAGGGGAGAATCCATGGGGGTGACACAGCTGCTGCTGCCTGTGCTACAACCGGCGTCTATAGAGGAACACTGCGAGCTTTGGAGGGAATGAATGCCTTCGCTTTGTATCGATGACATGCGTTTGCTCACATGGTATTCGTATAACCGTGTGACGTCTTGCTCCGAGGGCTTCGCTTGCCGCTGCTCGTTATCCTGTGAAGCGGCGTCTCCCTCTGCGGGGACGGGCCCTTTGGATGGGGAGATGAGATGGGCATTTAACTGTTGGCTTCTTTCATCTGAGTCCTGTTTCTCTCCCTTCGCTGTCAACCTGTC